ATCCATTATCACCACCACCACTACACATCACTACCACCACCACACCATCATCACATCACCATCCACCATCACATCACCACCACCACCACCACCATCACATCTCCACTACCACATCACCATCACCTCCACTACCATCATCATCACATCACCACCACTACCATCATCACCACATCACCATTACACATCACCACCACCATCACTACCATCACCATCAACCATCAAAAAGCCAGTATCTTCCCACTGCAAAACATATCCCCCTCCCATTTTAAGTTGGCGAACAACCCAGACACCAACCACCTAATTACATGAAATAATTGCTCATTATAGGGTGTTTAATCGTGGTAGTTATATGCACTTTTATAAATCTTCTAAATATTTTAACAGCTACTTATACACTCTCATTTCAAGATTAGAAAGAGAACAAATATCGTTTTTGTTATTGATTTATTACTTGGCGCGATACAGCATATCAATGATAGCTTGAAGATATGATTCGCGAGCTATTCAGTACATATTAATGTTCCTTTTCCTTTTTTATATAATCATAATCTTTTAACAGCTCCTTATACACTCTCATTTCAGATTTAGAAAGAGAACTAAATATTGTTTTTGTTTTGATTTATTCCTTGACGTGATACAGTATATCAATGATAGCTTTGAAGATATCATTCGCGAGCTATTCAGTAATTCATATTAATGTTCCTTTTTCTTTTTTTTATATAATCTTCTTAATAATTTGAACAGCTACTTATACACTCTCATTTGATTAGAAAGAGAACTAATATTGTTTTTGTTATTTATTTATTACTTGGCGCGATACAGCATATCAATGATAGTTTGAAGATATGATTCGCGAGCTATTCAGTATATATTAATGTTCCTTTTTCTTTTTTTTTTATATAATCTTCTTAATCATTTTAACAGCTACTTATACACTCTCATTTCAAGATGATTAGAAAGAGAACAAATATTGTTTTTGTTATTGATTTATTACTTGGCGCGATACAGCACATCAATGATAGCTTTGAAGATATCATTCGCGAGCTATTCAGTAATATATAATGTTCCTTTTTCTTTTTTTTTTTATATATATTAAATAATTTAACAGCTACTTATACACTCTCATTTCAATGAATTAGAAAGAGAACAATATCGTTTTTGTTTTATTGATTTATACTTGGCGCGATACAGCATATCAAAGATAGCTTGAAGATATCATTCGCGAGCTATTCAGTACATATTAATATTCCTTTTCCTTTTCCTTTTTTTTAATATAGTCATAACCTTTTTAACAACACATTATACTTTTTTTATATATAATCATAATCTTTTTAACACTTTATATTAGTCTTTTGTATATAATCTCATAATCATTTAACACTTTATACTAGTCTTTTTTATAATCTTCATAATCATTTTAACACTTGATACTAGTCTCCAGATATCTGCTGACGGCGCGCTGTCGCTCAGGGGCTGACGCCGGTCTTCTGCTCGATCCAGTCCAGGTAGTAGTGGACGCGAGTGAAGGCGTCGGGGTAGCCAACCTCGCAGCCGGCGGAGGACCCGAAGGAGGTGATGCCGTAGGTCACGCCGTTGAGGTTGAGGGGGCCGCCGGAGTCACCCTGGGGAGGAGTCGGTTGTGGGGAAGGCGTGGGGGGGGGGGGGGAAAGGGTGATTGGCGAGTGTGTCGCTGCATCGAATCTCAAGAAGAGAAAGAAATAAAGAAAAACAGACAAACTGGCAGCTCCCTCCGAACTCGGAAGCGCTTCCATTCTCTTAAACTCTCGAAAAAAATGTGAAAATGACGCTGGAAGCAAAGCGATATTTTGTTTTAAAAATAAAACTAGTGTATTTATGTTTTAAAAATACAAACCATATGTAAACACAAGTACTAACTATCAGTTTAATCTAATGAAAAAAAGGAAACTTGGCGAAACGGGGTGCCTAAAGGGTTTTCTTTCCTGAAATTGGACGCCTAAGGTACTCCCCCGTGGCCAGGTTTCAGATTTTTTTTGATTTTTTTTATTATTGTTATCTCTTTTTCAATTCTTTCTCTCTCCTTCGGGTAAAGTATGTTAGATTTTTTATTATTCTTTGCCCAGGTTTCAGAATTTTTTTATTATCTTTTTTAATTCTTTTTCTCTTCGGGTATATGTTAGATTGTTTCAGATTTTTCATTTTTTTAATTGTTATCTTTTTTTCTTTTTCTCTCTTTCGGGTCAGGGTTCAGATTTTTTTCATTTTTATATTATTATCTTGGGTAATGTTAGATTTTATTATTCTTTGCCCAGGTTTCAGATTTTTTTTCATTTTTTATATTGTCATCTCTTTTTAATTCTTTCTCTCTCCTTCGGGTAAAGTATGTTAGATTTTTTATTATTCTTTCCCAGGTTTCATTTTTCATTTTTTATTATTGTCATCGGGTAAAGGTATGTTAGCTTTTTTATTATTATTCTTTCTGTCTCATTTACGGATTTACTCACGTTGCAGGTGCCTTTGCCGCCGGCGCCGTCGACGCAGACAACGCCGTCGCCGACGATGCCATACACGGCGTCGCAGTCAGCGTTGGCCATGACGGGGACGTCCACCTGACGGAGGACGTCGGACGTTCCGCTGACACCTGAGTGAACAGAGACATTTTGAATTTTTTTTTTTTTTCATTTTTTTTTTTTTTCATTCGCAATTTTTCATTCCTAAAAAAAAATAATAATAAAAAATAAAAAAAATAAAAAAAAGATAAAAATAAAAAAAAATAAAGAGAGAGAGAGAGAGAGAGAGAGAGAGAGAGAGAGAGAGAGAGAGAGAGAGAGAGAGAAAGAGAAGAAAACAGTCGTTTCTTCTGTAACATTCTCCAGAGATACGTAAGCAATCGGAAACTCACTGTCGGAGGGGCGGCCCCAACCAGTGGGCGTGACGACCTTACTGACAGGCACATCAACGGCAGGCAGGCTAACAGGCTGGATGTAATCTATCGCAATGAGAAATTAAGAAAATTTATCAACAAAAAGATAATTTCAGACTCATGATGATGATGAATGATGATAATGATAATGATAATGGTTATATTAATGATGATGATAATAATAATAATAATAATATTGGTAATAAAAATGATGATTATAAATATAATAATAATAATAATAATAATAATATAATAATAAAATAATGATGACAATAATAATAATAATGATAACAATAATAATAATATTAATAATAAAATATACCCAAACCAGACAAATAAACAACCAAAGAAAGAAAAAAAAAAAAAACAATCCAAAAAGTGCAAACCATGATAGATCACTCTTCCCCCACACCCCCCCTCCCCACCCACCCCCCACCCCCCCCCCCCACCCCACCTCCCCCCACCCCCTCACCGTTGAATTCCACAGCGTAGGGCAGCCTGACGAGGGCGAGGTCGTGAGTGAGGGTGCTGTAGTCCCAATCCTCGTGGGTGAAGAAATCGGTGGAGGACACGGTGATCTGGCTGGCCTCGACCTCCCGGATGTTGTGGGCGCCCATCACCACCTCCACGTAGAAGGCGCTGCAGGAGAGGTGAGAGAGAAAAGGGAGAAGACGGGATAGATGTGTTTGGGAGGGTTTTTTATTGGTTTGCTGCTTACTGCTTCTCACGTGGAAGAGACAGGGAGAGGGAGAGAAAGAGAGACAGAGACAGATAGATTGTTTTAGAGAGAGAGAGAGAGAGAGAGAGAGAGAGAGAGAGAGAGAGAGAGAGAGAGAGAGAGAGAGAGAGAGAGAGAGAGAGAGAGAGAGAGAGAGAGAGAGAAGAGAAAAGACAGAACAGAACAGAACAGAAGAGAGAAAGAGAGAGAGAGTAAGAAAGAAAGAGAAAGAGATACAGAGAATGAGAGAGAGAACGAAAGAGATAAAGAAAGAAAGAGAGAGAAAAAAATGAGGAAAATAAATGTATTATCTTATTAAACACATTTTGTCGAACGATACTAAGAAACTACTAACCATTTTTTATCTCTTAGATAATAGCAAGCCCGTAGATTTAAGGGAGAAGAAGAAAAAGGAGGAGGAGGAGGAGGAGGAGGAGAAAAAGAAGGAGGAGGAAGGAGGAGGAGGAGGAGGAGGAGGAGGAGGAGGAGAAGAGAAGAAGAAGAAGAAGAAGAAGAAGAAGAAGAAGAAGAAGAAGAAGAAGAAAGGAGGAGGAGGAGGAAGGAGGAGGAGGAGAAGAAGAAGAAGGAGGAGGAGGAGGAAGGAGAGAGGAAGAGAAGAGAGAAGAGAGAAGAAGAAGAAGAAGGAGGAGAGATGGAGGAGGAGAAGAAGAAGAAGAAGAGAAGTAGAAGAAGAAGGAGGAGAAGAAGAGAAGAAAAGAAGGAGAAGAAGAAGAAGAAGAAGAAGAAAGAGGAGAAGAAGAAGAGGAGCAAATAGAGGTGGAAGGAGGAAGAAGAAGAAGAAGAAGAAAGAGCAAATAAAGGTTTGCCAAAAAGGAAAAAAAACACAACATACCCATCCATGCAGTGAGCGGCCGTGAGCACCCACTCGCTGGAGATGAGGGAACCGCCGCAGAAGTACATTAAGTCGATGAAGAGAGCCACCTGATGGGGCCACGAGTGAGGGACGGCCTCGGTGCCTCCCACGATGCGCGGTGTGGCTATGGTTTCCAAATTTGATATCAAAACCTTTTTCTCTTTAATTATTAAACTCTAAACTACATATATACCATGAATTTATACCATAGAGATAGGAAATGAGAGCACCAGGGGGAAAAAAATTGTACCAGGGGCAGGTCCGCGTGGTTCCACAAGAGGCTTCGGGGACTTCCAGTGCCATGGCTTCCCCGCCGCAGGGTTTCCGCTCTGGGGACAAGAGAGGGGGGGACAACAGGTCAAAGGTCAGCGAAAAGACGACCCCAAAAATTCAAAGGAAACGACCGAAAACATCCGGGACTTACGACGACGGCGACACAGACGAGGAGAAGTGAAAGTTTTCCGATCATCTTGGCGGGCTGAGTTTCGTCTGCTTGGAAGCCATTT